TCAGGAGGTAGCCTTGAAAGAAGAAGTATTGAACTGGTAGTATTGAATGAAGAAGTCCAAGCCGCACCGAAGGCTTGTGAGGGGGCACAAAAGAAAGCTCCAGGGAAGCCCCGTTGAGATGTGTCAGCAAACATACGGCACTAGTCCGAGCCGTACAACTTACAAGACAGCTACCAGGCCAACCGACCAGAAGAGATCCGTATTTGTGTCCGTTCCTAAGAAAGATGATCCAACAGAAACCGGGAATTATCGAACTGTATCATTAATGCCGCAACACAGCTAGTTTTACTGAAGAAAATTCAAAATAACGGTTGCAGTCGTACATTGACAAACCAACTTAAGGGGAGGACATGGAACAAGGGATTTCACTGCCAACCTCAGCAGGGTCTGAACTGAAAGAAAAGAATCCTAAAATGCTGTTCAGCTGTGTTTTATTGGCTACGGAGAAGCATGCAACTATGCGGATCATAAGGAACGGTGGATAACGTGGCAAAGAAGAACCCCAGCACGCTTGGGTGTGCTCAGGCAGAACCTGTACCGAGACCCAGAGGCAGCAATTCGAAACGAATGAGTTTTCAATCAGGAAAGGTGGATTCCAGGGTGGTGTCACTTAGCCGGACTGATGTGGTCTGCGTGCTGAGCAAAGAATCCGAGCAGCCGGACCGTGTGGAGACGCGTGTGACATCAGGAGGGAGGGAGACCCGTTGGCAGCCTGAGAGAGGCATAGGACACGGCCTTGTTCGCGGAAGTACCTACTAAGGAAGATCAAGGACTACCGCCTTCGGTATGGATGACACCTCACTCAAGATAAGATTAAAAAAAAAATCCTCAGAACCGGACCAATAAACCACAAGGGATCAAGGGAGAAAAGAATGAAGTTGTCAGGGATTGCATTTACCTTGGCTCCACAACCAACCCCCACGATGTAGCCGTAAAGAGTTCAACCGCTGCATGCCATTGGGAAAGCCTGCTGCACCGACTCTATTTGGGAGCCTGGTGGGCTCTGTGCTGAGTGGCTAACCACAGGCTCGGCGGTTTGA